GGAGTAAATTAATTTTCAACATTTTTGAAATCTGTTTTTTCCCTCTTTTTTAGAATTGCTTGTACCCGTTTGTGCCGCTCTTCGTTTCGTTTGCACCTCGATAGTTTAACATTTATAACTCAACCGTATCAACAATTGCTTGTAAATCTTAAACTATTGAAGTACAAACGAAGCGGTACAAACGGGTACAAACGATTTTAAAGAATAGGGAAAAAACAGATTTCAAAAATCTCAATGTCGGGTGCTGGTCACTTTCTGAATTTTTTTTTAATTATTAATTCATGAAACTATAAACGAAACCATTGTTACTACAATCAACTGCAAACGAAATGCTATCATATTCTATAAGAAAGAATTAATTTTTGAAAAGTCGGGTGCCAGGTTCACATATCTTGTACAAATACCGTGCTACGCTTTTCAAAATATTTATTCGTGCGAAATGTAAACGCATAATTCCGCCAGATTTTCATAATATTTGCGATATCGTCGACTACGTAGCATAGAAAAGAGGTCACGTACATTTATCTGGATACCGAGTGTATTTACATTTATCGATAGTCCGTCCACAGGGGTGTCCAGCCAACAGAAGCATACTCTGCTTTCGCGAGGACGGATAGCTAGCTACCTGGTAACCCTTTGCGCTCGAGTGGCGCCTCTAGGGCGACACACGCAATTTTAAAAGTGATTTTCTTGAACGTACAATTTCAATTTTACTTATATCGGAATACAGTTAATTATTAATTGAAATAATGATACATCGAGTCGTGAATGTTCGTAGACGTTTCCTTTCGAAGTAGAGTTTTTGGTTTTGCAGAAATTTATTATAAAAATAGACCGGATTTGATTTGATAGAAAAATGCCTCGACCGCAAAAGGGTGAATAAGTGGTCGAATTCGGGCGACGGGAGTTCCGTTTCGAAATCGATGAAAATTCCGAGCAACGGCAACGACCAGCGATGATCTTTCGATTAGAAAGACTCGGCGTGCCGATATCAGCGGAAAAAGTTTCGCATCGAAACTCTCTTACGTCGAAGAGAAAGTGATAACTGCCGCGGCGAGTTTCCGCAAATACGTAGAGTATAAATAGCTGCGCGATGAAATCTGAATCAGCTTTTAAATGTTACTTGCACTAGCCATCGATTATACAACGCGCGATCGTTAATTCGACGGCCATCCGTTTCGAAGGATCGATAATACCGTAACTTACGGTTGCAAAAAGAAATGCGTCGATAATTCGGACGTCGACCTTCCAACGATCGTCGATGGATCGTAATTCGATAGAGCACGAATCTATCGCGACTCTGATTTATTTGTCACAATTAGTCGTTTACCAGTGACTCATACTTGTCCGGGAACGTGTATTCCATCCGACATTGTTTGTAAATCGTCTAGTAACCGATTCGTTATTTCCTTCTGCATTTCGCGAATGCGTAATCGCGCGTAGCCGAGGAGAATGTTGCGTCGGTGAAATACCCGTTTCGCTCTAATTTAATATCGTGCCCTTGGCGGCTGAAGAAATCCGTCGGCGAGATTGTCGCGCATATGTACGTGTAACCACTTGTTAGAAGCCGCATAAGAGAGACAAACCTTTTAGTATATTGCATCTTAATTGCATTAAACAGTGACTCACGAAAGTATTTCAACACTTAGTACGAGATACTTTATTAATTATGATAGGTATATTGTAGAACATTTACTGAAATATTATTAACACTGTAAGGAGGTACGACTCTGTACATTATATAGGTAAAGTTTCAAACGAATCGGCATATGTAAACAATAGATTTGAATTATTTCTTGTAAACATAGAGATTGCTGAAGTCACGAGAGTATTGGAACGCACAAGAATGAGTTCCAAGAATCAATGAAAACTCGGTCTTTCGGCCACTAAATGTAAACATTGATTGTTGTTAGTCATCGTTGTACATACATCGAAAAGCGGTACAGACGGGTACAAACGATTCTAATGAATGAGGAAAGAACAGATTTCAAAAATCTTGAAAATTAATTTACTCCTCATATATATATATACAAGTTTAAGATTTACAGCAATTGTTTTGAAATATATATACATATATATATGTATACACAAAATACACAAGTTACTATTCCTATATAAATTCTATTAACACAATATAATAAAGAGTTTGACAACCTCGACTTACAAATTAAAGAATGTATTGTTTCGTTATTCCGTATTGCGATTAGTTTTAAGAAGTATATTAATTAGAAAGTAAGCCAATGAGAATAATGATTAAGTGATACTATTGTAAAAAGTTTAGGAGAAAGAATGTACAAAGAGAGCAGCACATAGTAGTGCAAAGTACAACTTTGAATGTACGCACTTGAATCCAATAAACAAACAAACAAACAAACAAACAAACAAACAAACAAACAAACAAACCTAGTGATGCCACCCAACCAATGAAAACGAACTTGATAGAAGTGGAGTTGAAAGTGGAGTCTAAGTCGCGATAGGTTTCGAGAAAACTGTCCAGTAAATAAAGGGTTTAGGTGTTTTCGCAATGTCGCTTCTCTGAATTGTCTTGGAACGTTCGAACTGGGACGGAAATCGCCGGCGAAAGATGCATAGATAAACATCGATCGATTCGGTCACGCCTCGGACTGCTCGTTCGAGTCCTGTTCTCTGCTATGGAGATTTTCACGACAACGATTAAGACCTCGTGTGTCGTGAATCGTTTTCTCCCGCTTGCCTTCGCCACGCAAATAACGTTAACAAGCTTGAACGAGCCTACGATACCGTTAACCGATGGGCAGAATGTATTATACGTAGCTAGAACACCTATCTATACGCTCTATTCTTTTCCCAACTATATTTCAAGAAATTCTAGTCAAAAATCGCCCAAATCGTTCGAACGTTCCACGACTTTTTATACCATCATTTTAATTACCTTCCCCACGTTAATGGGGCACGCGAGCCAGCCGCAATCTAAATTGCAGCCGACGACACCCTACGTACGAGATCGTAATTTATTTTCGCGCTGTAATCGTATCGTAAAGACAGCTGTTACCGACTGAAGTCGTTTCAGCTTTAAACGTACGGTTCGATCATTTTATTTATTAGAGATTTATATTATGTACAGTGGGTGTAGAAAGTATTCATACACCGATCAATTTCCAAAAAAAACTGTGTAAAATTGTAATTTACTAATTTATTTTTTATAAATAATGATATTCTACATATTCTCGGAAATCTCTAGAATAGATAGATTACAAAAAAAAAAATAGCTATTTATGTAAGTTGCGAAATAAACAATAAAAAAACCATTAGTCGGTAGAAATGTTGAAGCAATAAGTATTCGTACAATTGTTTAATTTTTAAAACTTCGGTGAAAAAAAAGGAATTCGCATTAATTTACAAGTATATTATACTTCCCTCGTGGGATTTCCTTTTGATTTTATAATTACTGTAAACTGTATACAGGGTGTCCCAAAAATGTTGGAGGTCCTTGAAAGGGGTGGTTCAGGGGGTGATTTGAAACAATTTTTTCCTTAGCGAAATTGTTGTCCGAGGCTTCGTTGAGGAGATATTAACGGAAAACACTGACCAATCAGAGCGCGCGGATACCGTTGGAGCGGCCGCGGTAGCGATGGCTACGCGCCAGGTAGCCGCTCTCGTACGCGAACAAGTGATATTGACGCGGCCGCTCAGCGCGTAACCTTCGCTACCGCGACCGCTCCAACGGTATCCGCGCGCTCTGATTGGTCGGCTTTTTTAATTAATATCTACTTAACGAAGCCCCATCCGACACTTTTGCAAAGGAAAAAGTTGCTTCAAATCACCTCTCGAACCACCCCTTTCAAGGACCTCCAACATTTTTGGGACACCCTGTATACACAAGGAACTCGGAAGAGAAAGATTGCAAACTAGTCTATTATTGGATTGGTGTGATCTCCAGGCGTATACATTCAAAAATAACGAATAAGAAACTAGTAACGTCTGAGAAATAATCGATGCAGTCTAATTTACGACGGATCAGAGTAAACGATTCGTAAAGTAAAATAAGACGATAGAAACGATCGAATAAACGTACCTGTACGTGTTATAAATATCGAATTGCAGGCTAAACTATAAACTAAATAAACTCGATGCATTCAGTTTCCTCGGAAACGATTAATATTCACGGACCGATAGTTCCGGGTTACTTGAAACTATTCGAGATAAATTATACGCGTAATTACCCATCTATAAGTACAATTACCGTATTAATCGATCGAAGAACAACGTCGGAGACCGTTGAACCGAATTTCACGCGTTATCCGAAAAATCGGTAGCACGATTACGAAACTCGAGCAATCAAATTTCCTTCGCAATTCGAATCGATTCTCCGTAGCATCGTATTCGCGTGGAAAATCGTAGATCGCGTTAAATCGAGTCGTTGACAACGTGGCGCATCGCTAAAAACTTCATTCTGTATAAATCACAGATAAAACACGAGATACCGCGATGTCCTCTATTTGTCAACCCGACACTTGATCGTATTTCAATCGCGTTACCAACGTAATTGCCAACCAATGCTTTTTGGAATCGTCACTCACTGTAACCGACTTCTTTTAAATTAATTTCGATTCTCGGTTGCATTCCTACCGCGTTGGTATCACGTTTCGATTACAAATTGTAAGTGTACGAGATTTATTTACCTGTCTGTCGGTGATTCGGCTTTTCAAAGTGGAAAACGTGTCTCGAATTGAACGGTTCAAAATAAAACGCGCGACACCAGTTATAACCTTCGACGATACAACTTCTCGAACCATGGAGGTCGGAAAATCTAATCAGGCATTCGGAATGTAGATAGTTGAAAACGAAATATGTTTCGCGACACGCATGGGTAGCCTGGTAGCATCGTAGTCTATTCGAGGGCAATTAATCGAAAAATACCGAGTGAAAAACACAGAGGGGACCACCGAACGGTGAACCGTGATACCTTGACAGGTAGAACGCGAACTGTGCCAAGAATTCATCGTTTCTTCCGTGGTAAACAGCACCGAACGTCTAACCACCCGAATCGATTAAGGCGAGCATCACGCTATCGCGGTGGTACCGATAAACCTGAAGACTCGAGAAGAAAAAAAAAATCACCACCTCAGCTGTCGAATCCGAGGTGACAGCTTTCGCTACACTGGTAGCGTCCAATTGTACGAGAGAGAGATTCCAGACTTTGATCGGATTATTCAATCTCACCGCGAACGAACGTTCTTTCAGCTGAAACATCCTTTCGGCTAAAACGGTATTCGTTTGACAGGTAGACGCGCACAGTGATTACGAGTTGCGACCAAGTATGTTCGAAATTTAAAAGAAAGAAAGAAATAACAAAAGAGTAAGCGAGAGGGTGTACTCACACTTCGAGTATTCGATCGCCTTTTCGTACACCGGCCTTCTCGGCAGCACCTCGGGGCAACACGGCGCTGACATGCTGAAGCGGCGCGTACAATTCCCCGTTGATGCTTCTTAGTTGTCCACCCTCGCTGACCTGGCCGCGTACGTTGAACCCGAAACCAGTCTCGGTTTTGTAAATGGTGACGCACCTCGGCCCCTGCCCGATCGGATTCGCCTGGTTCACCGGGTGCTGAGGCACGCGTCCGTTGTTGATCATCGTCACGCTCGCGTTCCTCGTTACGTCCTCGTTCGTGGCTGGCAACCGCTGCACCTCCGACTCGCAGTCCGCCATCTTACTCTCTGACCGCCCATTGATGTACCTCTCGTACGAAAATCCGCCGCGAGACTGCGCCTGTGTCGAGCTCGCTCGCTCTCCTCCTTCTTCGCCGTTCCCCCTCTTCCGTACGTGACTCCAGTTGACTCAGGGCCGGTTCTAGCGGAGGGGTGCACCGGCACTAGGGACGGCGTGAAAAATCCACCAACAATGATTTTTCACGGTGATCATACAATCACGATCGCAGTCGTGATTGAACTTCGATCATGATCGTGATCCGAAAAATGGGGTTTCAGAAGCGGTTCGTGTTAATTATTATCGTTAGTGTATCACTGTCTCCCCTTAGCGGAAATTCAAGAAACTACAAATGAGTCAAATTTAAATTGTATTAAAATTATATTAACATTGCTTTTAGACCATATCGTAATACATATATAACCCAAGAACAACGTAATTCGTGAAAAGTGAAAAGAATGTTCTGTACCAATCACAGAAGCGATCACGAAGAATCATTGAATCACTGTGAAAAATCATCGTGATTGAGAATGAACGTGATTGAATCACGAGTGATTCAAAAATACCAGTTCACGCCATCTCTAACGGCCAGCCGATTTACAGGGCCGGCCCAAAGACGAAATCATCTATGAATTTCGATGTGAAATTCCGATCGAATGAAAATAATGTATCAAAAATGAATTTTGATGGTATTCAATTACATCGTGACTAGACTGCGGATCCTTATCAAAATAAAATCTTCGCGAACGTGCCTACGAAAATTGAACCCAAATAGGAATTTATTTTATTCTGTAAATATCATAACATGAACTTTACTTTCGATCTTTTTTATATTCTTGCATATTGTTTGCATTTTGTAGTTTCTTGCACATTTAAATTTCCTATAGATGCATACAGATCCGCAGTCTAATCATGTCAATCTAATCAACGTCGTACCAGAAAATTTTACTATTGCATCGAGAATTTCTTTTAACTCTGTCAGTTTCCGTAGCATCTGGCGAAAAAAGATTCTCGAAACTCAAAATAATTAAAAATTATTTCCGATCTACGATGTTTCAGAAAAAACTGAGTAGTCTTGCACTTATTTCTATTGAACATGAAATATCTGAAATACTGACTTGTCAAAAATAATAGACGCACTTGCGTCTCTAAAAGTCGGAAGAGTTAATTTGAGAACGTTGGTACAGTGATTTTATTATTTAATTTTAAAATGTTTTAAAAGATGTAAGTATCGCTAAAAATGATTTTTTCTTGTCATTTTCTTTATAAATAATTATTCAAATGAAACGAACGATACATATTTTACAAATGAGATTGTTCATTTATCCTATTTCATATAGTACCAATATTTTTGAATTTCCTCAAATTTGCAATAAAGCGGTGGCGAGAAATGGATTTGCCCAGTGGCGACCAACCACTCAGGATCGGTACTGAGTTGACCTTATAGAGGGTGTTCTTCGATTAGTGGGAACATTCGAATAATCGAATATTTTACACGGTACTACAATCTACAAATTGTAGTCGCTGCGCCTTCGAAATTATCATTGCGTCGCGAAAGGTATCGACCCACACGAATTAAACGTACCGAAGATATATCTATGCTTTGTCTACGTCTATGCTGTAAAACCATCTACCTTTCTTTTATATCCAGTGCACGTTGCGCTGAATCCAGTTGAATCGAGTAACGACCGCCAGAGGTCCACCTTTGAAATCAGCTGTTGCCGCTTAATAATGTTTTCGCGATTTTACGAGGAAATAATGATAACCAGCTATTCTAGCAAACAATGTTGCGGTGTTTGAATATTCATAAAATAAAACGACTCGCATGCACGTGGTTTAGAAGAGTTTGACAACGTTTGCTTCCTGCCTCGTGACGATGTCGACGTTGAACACAAGGTTCGTGATCGTGATGCGTTTTGTACCTAAAAATTAAACACGTTAAGGTATGTGTGTATAAATTGATAATAATTAGTCCGTATATATGTAAATATATGCGTGATTTATTGTTACGTATATCGCGAATCAAATATATATTTTTCCGAATGTAGCTAGATGTAGCGCGGTCCAGTTCGTGTTTGTTGCGCATGTATCGAACTTTTTAAGCGTAATTAAACCGTCGTTCGATAACCAACGATCTTTTAATGCGTCTTCTAATTCGAAACATCAGCCTGCTACTCTCGTCGTTCGAATTACCTAATCTCGGGACTTTACAAGGGATGAAAATACAGAAATTACTGCCATTTATATTTGCAATATATTAAATAATTATTAGATACATTTATGTGCGATAGTCGTTTCGAAGTCATGTTACTCGTATTTACATTTTTTTTTCTTCTTTCCTTCTTAATTTAAATCTCTGTTTTCCGTAAAGTCTCAATATTTTATGTTTTCTTTTTTTTTTTTATTTCGACTTTAAAATCAATTACTGAAACGATCGCGAGCGTTCAATTCGTACGTTAAAATATTTCTTTTTTTTTGATATCGTTCTCGTTACAAATTTTTCCCCGCTTCACGCTTTGTCTCGTTCGGTGATACAAAAATTAACAGTTCGCTAACATTCGACGAGTTCCGTGACGCGTTAAAATAAAACTTCGAAATTCGAAAAGACGAACAAGGTACAAAAATAAAACGATTCGCCGACAACGATGACAATCGAAACGGGATAACTTAACTTTCTGTTCCATCGACGGAATGAAAGTAATCGAGCGAAGAGCAGAGAGAGAACTGAAAATAACGATGATTCAGAAAGTACCGCGTGTTTCAAAATGCATAAAATGGATTATCGACAAATGATTCTTTTAAAAAAAATATGTACAAAACGGAAACGCAGAATAAAATTTGTTCGTACGAGAAAATGTTATTTTACGTTTTCAGGTTACTTTTTCAAAAGGAATCGTCGTCTGTAAATTGATAATACTATGCGTTTTGAGACACACCGTATAAATTCGTGAATCGTAATACTGTTGAATCGATTACATTAGTCTACCTACCCTCAGCTTTCATTAACGCGCACGAAAAAATTATTTTAGAGATTCTAGAGTACACGTTATTCGTCCGAATGTCTTACAAAAAACTTTGGTACCTGCTCCGGTGCTTTTCTTGCTTTTTTTTTCATTTTTTTTTTGTTTTTTTTTTCTTTTCCTTTTTTTTCGTTTACGCACTCTTGTCCACCTACTGTTACACGCCTGAGAATAGTACGAGATAGTCATACACAAATTGCTATAAAATCACACGTTACATTCACACTTAATTAGGGACAGAAGTGACGAAAACATCGAATCGGATTTCCCTTTTAGTTAAAAAAAGAAAGAATCGAGTCGCGTTGAAACTTCCGTATTCGCGGATCGTGGAAATCCGTAAAAGGACTTGAAGAATCGACAAACTTGAAACGCTGGACAGTTTCGAAATAAAAAGCAAAGTACAAATATCATGCTTTTCTTTTTGACCGAGTCAATCCTTCTTTTTTTTTTTATGCTTGACAAATTTGTTGAAAGCGAAGTCCAGAGAATGTGGAAGTTTAAACGAACTTTAAGATTTCATGAAAATATGTGCGTATATGTACATCATACGAATACTTTTAGATAAAGCTTTTAATAAATATATATAAATATATATATGCGTGTGTGTGTGTGTTTGTGTGCGCGCATACATACATACATACACACAGACATATATATGTATGTATGCATGTATAGATAATACAAAAGGGCATCGTGTACTAATTACAAACGTTAGAGAAATAATAATATTAATAAAAATAATAATAATTATAATAAACGTGATTGTACCGATAACATGCCCTTTTTAAGGTAACCTAAGAGCAGGAGGAACGTGCATACGTCGAAAATGTTCGAACTTATTTAAGTCTGACTAAGCATTTAGTACAATAGAGATTTTTTCATTATATAAAATTCGAAGTTATCTCTAATAAACATTGCTCACTATCGACATGGATCGTGTAAATATCGATCGATGTGAAACGCTAAAATTTTTGCGTATAATATACATAGACTCTGTACAGAAAAATACGCGCATTGGGTTCTAGGCAAACTATTTCTTCGCAAGAGTCTCGTTTCAGTGAGTCCATTGGCGTCGTCTAACAGTGTTTATGGCAAATCGATTTTTAACAAATAATACGTTACGCGTCATCGCGCGTAGCGTTCAAACGGTTTGAAAATTACAAATCAAGCACGGAGAGCTCTAACAGTTGTCGTATATCATACTTGACGATAGTAACTTCACGTTTTTGCCTCGGTTACAAATCGGTTCATAATCGCACGGTACATCGAATTTATGACGCAAGAAATATACTGCAATATCATTTGTCTGTAACAACAATCTAGCATTACACATTTTCTTGCAACTATTCAATATACATTCAACAAACAGATGATTAGACAGTAGTAGTTATAAATCGGACAATTTAGACACGGATTTTACATTCATTGTTCGCGTGGACATCGATATTTAAGGTATTTAAATCGCTTCGTAAGAAATTCTAACGTGGAACTTTTATGCAAACGCTGTTTTAAACGGAATTTTAAATAGCTATGAATTTCCCGATGTACATGTACGTGCACCGTCCGTTTTACAGTGCTTCGTTGAATAAATAATTCGTGTCAAAAAAGCATTTGCATCCGTAACAGTGCGTTCGAATACGATTCTAAATTACATGAGAATTAACGTTACATACTTAGATCGTGTGTTTACTCGGAATAGACTTCATTACCAATCAGTAAAACTAGATGTTTTTTAATAAGCGGTCGAGAGATTGAGATTACGTTCGAAAGTATTGTATACAAACTATAGATTCTTTCGATGGAATAAAATCGCACAAAACTAATTGTACATACGTCATGATAAACGGATCGTTTGCTTGCTAAAAGCCTAAATTATAAATCACATCGTTTCTTCTCTTATTCTCGTGTAAGTCTATACGAAGGCTTTCATGGAAGAGCATACTTTGAATCTGCAATATCTTTTCGCTAAGAACTTTAAAAAACTTCTACCTCTGTCGTAACGAAGCACGTTTGATTCTCGAGGTAAACTAGTTAATACTTTAGTCGATTTACTCGTTTAAAAGTTAACTCTGTATAATTTCTCTAATTTTCTTAATGCTTAATCGAATCGGAAGTATTTTTTAATCTATACGATGATCCCTGGATAGCAATCCCTGTAAAAGGAATCCGTCATGAATTATTTTAGCCAATTTCTTTGCGCGATCGAGTTGCAACGTTTCGAAATTGTATAGAATATAATCTTTGGTTACCCAAAAAAAAAAAGAAAGACGTCAATCAATATGAAGTTGCACGTCACAACGCGTTATAATACATCTGTAGATCTTAGATGTCTGCAAATTGGGCACCACTAAATCACATTTTCCATTCGTTTGTAATTTTTCGCTACATTTACATTTCTTTCAAACTTTTTGAGGTCAATTGTAATTAGATGTTCGTTCTCGATAGTTCACCAGTTTAACCCTCTCATATAAAGATTCTATAACAATGTATCCTTACGAGTTTGTACTTGGTAATTTAAGTTTCGGATAGACCTTGAAAGCATGAAAGACCTACTGTGGAATAACGGATATCGTAAAAGACGTTTACGGTACTCTCGATAAAACAAAGAACGTCGTGAAATAAAATCGTCTCGTTGTTTAAAATTTTATGACTCTTTAAACGGTAATAAAAATTCAAAGCTAGTCACTTAAATTGAGAATGCAAATAAACCGTGTTCGATATATAAAATACACGTAAATCATACGAAACTATATGTATGGTCCTAACAAACATAACGACGTCAATCGTAATTATTAATCCGTACAGTAGTAGTTTAATAAATAATGCTTTTAACGATTACTTTAAATGTTCATTATCTTAATAAAACTGTATTCATCAATCAGAGGATTAAGCTTTGTAACGTCACCTCCGATATATGTGTAACACAGAGTATAAGAAAAATTCTTTAAACCTATGAAATAGGATAATTCGCGCTTGTATAGATATAGATATATATTTATATTTAATTTAATTGACATAGTAATTGTTCTCAAATGGAATGTTTATAAAATAAGGCGTTTTGTAGTTTACATGCTTTAAATAACTCTGCAACCACGCTTCAGAATATACAATAAAATTTACATATGAGAGGGTTAAAGACGGGGATCGCAAGATCCGCGTGTGCCACATTTTGCTTTCGTATTTGGGCAAACATTGGATAAGTGCTCGCTTACCGTTGTTACAAATCGTGAATCTCTTCGGAGAGCAAAATATCGAGGAACAGGAATCAAGATTTTCTGTTCGTGCATTTGGTCTTCGAAAAAAAAAGAAACCTAGTTTTTCTTTAGATATGATCTAAATATATAGCCTAACGTAAGAGTAGAAATCTGAAATATTACATCGATGGAGATGATAGCAAAAAATAACTTTCAGTTATTTAAGCTAGAAGTAGGCTATGTAAGGAGACTATTATGCATACTCGGGAAGAACATCAATTTCTGGTACATGATAATAGAGTTTACACTCTAATCGGAATCTTCTTCTATAGTTGGAGGTAACATATCGAGATGTTCCGGACTAAGCATCCCTCTGGAGATCGCGTATTCTGCCAACGCACGATGACAGAAAACATACTGGTCTGGCATTTGAATACTGTAGGCCCTCTGTGCTCGGATTTTTTCCACCGTTCCACGGATGTCCACAGTTCCGGTATCTTCTAGCCGCGATATGCAAATGTCTAACGTGCAAAACGTTCCTAAAAGGAGATTAAATTATACTTTAGCGTTCAACGTCCCTTCGTCGAAACGTACGCTCGTACAAAGTTCCTTAAATACCTGTCCTTCCTATTCCGGCGCTGCAATGTACAACTATAGGAGGTCCTCGCGGATGCCCGGCCCATGTGTCCCCTCTGTGTGCAAGTAATTTATTTTGTTGTTGTCTTACTAAGGCTAGAAACTGTAACAGAGCTCTGGCCGACTGTGGAACACCGTAATCCGGCCACGCTGTGTACAGCATATGGCAAACCTCCCTTGCCTCGTCAGTCTAAAACGAAAACATCGTAGGTTACGTATCGTTTACATACTTGCGAGTATACAGTGTTTACAAACATGGAACGATTCGACTTTCTTTGTTCGTTCAAAGCTAACGTACCTTGTTGTTTGTAAGGAGAAGCATAGATATCGTGTAATTGCGATTCGTATCAACTTCTAGAGTGGTTATAGTGAAACCACCCGCTTGTACTTCGTCGCCTGGCTCTAGACCCCAATACTGTGCACATTTTGTACGTCCTCTTTCCAACACCCTGCAATTAATGCGAGAAAAATTAATCTCTGTTCATTTAAAGAACGAAAAAAGTCGCAAGGATAAAAGAAATACAACATGCCTAGTAGTCATAACGATAACGAGCGTCTGCTGTTCCCAGATCATCCTCCAGAAATCCCCGCAAGTTTTCAGAAGAGGACCCTGAGTGCTGATGAACGCGTTCTTTTGTTTGTAACCGTCAACAAAATTGGCATTGATGTAATCGGTGCTCGCATCTCCGTCTATTTGGGATAAGCATACTCTGCTGTGGTCGTAGCAAAGTACATCCGTGTACCGATTCTTGGACTGGTTTATTCTCAATCTGTAAAATCAGATTACAGATGAGAGAGTAAGAAATTACTAACGTTTATTAAAAAAATATTTGAAGAAAATTTCCATACTTTGCGTGGTTGAAGGAAGCTTCCGGCGGTCTTTGCCTGATTTCGGCGTATTCGGCTACGAGACCGGCGCGTCCTCTCGAATGTATATCTTCGATGAACTGTTCCATGGTAACGGCTTGGAGCCCAAGGTCGCCGTGCAGGCTATCGTCGTCGCTGAAACCTGAACTAGCTGAGGACGGAGGCTGAACTGGAGACGGTGCCTCGTCTGTACCCATCCAGACATCACCGTTCGTGATCTCGATATCCCCGATATTCGACACCCCATTTTTAACTTTACTTTTATCGATTATAGGACTAGTCGAGCTACTAACTGTAGTTCCATTGGGATTCTGATTGACCGTGTGACTTTTCGATGTGGGCGAAAGAGGACTACCCACTCTGGGGGTAACCTGAGAACGTACAAACAACATATCATCCAGGGATCCATCGGACCGCACCTTCAACCCTGTACAACCGATCAACTGACCTCACAAAGTTCACCCCCGCCTCTGTTTGTCATGGATTTAAGACAATGGAGCAGCCATGCCTCATGCTGTATCTCCAACGTGCCGCCCAACCGGTGTGGTAATGACTCCCGCGGGATATGTAACGTTAATTGAGGAATGGATACAGTGAACACTCTGTCCCGCAATTTTTCACGGACGAATAACCGAAGGATCTTAAACGGCGCCTTGAACCACAGCGGTGCAGTCACTATCAAAACCTTCTTCAGTTTCGCTGGATAACCACCCTGAAACAACACCACGATAGTAATTCATTTTATTAATTTAGTCTATTTCATTCCTTTTTACGTTTACCGTCTAATGCGTATAATACTAGGTTGTCTACTTGCTACCAATAACTCATTTTATAACATTACAATCAAACAATAATTATTCTTCAAAGTAATTCGCTTCTGATAGTTTTCATCCATCTTTCTGCCAATTGTTCAATCCCCATTTGGATGTCAAACGTCATACAGAATTTTAATGTCAAAAATTCAAGCATTAAATGACAAAGAATTTTAATGTCAAAAATTCAAGCGTTAAATGTCATAAAGGATTTTAATGTCAAAAATTCAGGCTACAAAGTGTCTGCGAACTTATGAGACAACCCAGTATATGCGTATAACAAGGTATCGACGAAATACAAAAAATAAAGCAAAATAATTTATGTACGCGATACGGTATACTTTTTATAATAGCGAAAAGCGACCGGTTAAGGTGTCTGCACAATTTATTTTCGAAGCGGAGCGACTTTCAAATTCGACCTTTGAAAGCCGATGCAATAATAGAACGGTATATAAACCGAGACGCGCGTTTAGTGCCAACTGCGAGTAATGTTCGAGTACATGTTTAATGTACGAAAAAGTTTCGTTTTAAAGAGAATTAGAAAACTGTTGTTACTAGTTCTCGAACTAATTCCATGGAAAACTTGTATCTTATAGGCTTGTACGTTATAGGTCGTGCGTTTGCGTTAAACGATAGAGAATTGGGTCGAAGCGGAACGAGCGCATAATTTGTACGACGAAGTCGCCGTGCATCGAGGAATTCGTGTCGTCGTGGAGGTTGCGATGCGCGAAAAATCTTTTCTGCCTCGGAGTATCTGAAACGCAGGAAACACGGTGACTTAACCCTCCGTACCCTCTGTGGTGTGTATAGAGGGCGGAAGTACCGTAACGGCAACCGACGTCAGCAGTACCACTACATCTTCGAGATCTTAAGTACACAAACCCCGTTACATAGAAACCCCGCGAAACGACGAGAAAGAAGAAAGGAAAAGAAATAGAAAAACGGAGAAGCCGCACAAGTTTCGATCGCATCGCAACGATTTGGAGTAATCGTCGGTAGTCGGGGCTCGAGAAGCGTGTACGAGATTGAGATCGACAGGATTATATTCGGTCTCACCGGTACATAGATAGCACACTGGGCCAGTCAATCGATAGATTAGAATTTTCATTTACCGTGAGTCGACGGATGCACCGTAAGCGAATACTTTATCGGACATCGATGACACAGGTTGATTCGACGGTTAAGCAATCTTGCGAGCGATAAAAAAAAAAAAAAAATCCAAAGGCTGCCGATAGGTTTCCGATTCGGTTGATCACAGAGCACGGGGTACAGGCGTCATAGTCGATGGGATCGAAAAATCACTGCCGGCACTCGGTCAGTCAATCGATAGCGCGGAATTAGTATAACCGTGTTTGCACGGCTGACACGAACCCAACGAACGTTGATGCGTATCGGTCGATGCGAAACATGCCAGAACGAATTTCGGTTCGGCTCTCGACTCGGACGATGCGACTCGGCGACGCGTCAGCTCGTAGAAATTGGTCGATCGACGGCCACGAAGAAATCAGGTTGTATCTTCTCGCGATCCGTCCACGATAATGCCGCAAAGGGGTCACGATGATTACTGACTGCGAGCGTCGCGACGTTATCCCGCGGACGGGCGCATGCGCGGCGACGACCCCTTTTTACCACCGCTTGCTCCAACATCCCTTACGCGAATTTCTTTTTCCCCGGTGAAGGTGCAATTCTACCGTACGGTTGACGTATCGTCGCAGCGATTCTCAACTCGCCGATCAATTCACCCTTAGGACCGAATAAACAACAGAACCGAATAACCTCGCACCCTAATTGTATCGTTATCGACCTTTCGTCGCTCGATTATTCTAATTACGCATCTACCCGGGGACTTTCAAAACTAATTACGTGTGGATTTCTATCCTAGGTAGGATTTTTTATTCAAAGGATTTAATCGGTGAAATGTCTTTGAACGACAAGTTTTTAACATTGAATTAAATCAACTTTATTTCGTTACAGTTACGTGAGATCGGTATAACGCAAATTTTGCGACAGTGTATGGCGCGCGATGCAATGCGACGAATAAACTTGGTGTCTATTTTACATAACAAAACAGTGACGAATCAAACAACGAAAAGACACTGCAATTCGTCGCAATTGAAACGGCAATTTATCAATAGAGTATTAGATGAAAGGACCAAGTTTTATCATCGGAGAAGTTTCGCTCGCTCGGCGCGTCGTAAATACGAATAATAAAACGGAAACGAAAGAGTATCGGTACGCTATTATCCGAATGGAAAGCGAACAGACTTCGCGGCGTCGTATTTCCCTTTCGCGAGCTTTACGAGACGAGCTACATACGCGCATTCCGGAGTACGATTTCAGCTTGACCCTCGTTTCCTGGTAAACAACCGATTAAACGGGAAATTTATTTTTATCTTGCCGCTAGGTGACGTAAAGACGTCGTTATAAATAGTTCCATAAGTATCCTATAATTACGTCACGTCGACGAAACCTTTGAAATTCCCTTCTTCGACCCATAACACGCGGTTCAGTGGGCAATTGCAAGTGGATTTTCGTGAAGCGTGAACAACCCCTCAAGCTTTCCTGTTCTTTGAAATACACCCCTCTATATATACATATACAGACGTATGTACGAGACGTTCCGGAATTACTTTGTACTTTACCTATTATATCACCTTTCTCTATTATATCATCGGAATTATGTGCGACGTGTGCTTCTTCGAATCGCGTGCGAACATGCTCGAAAGTATTTTGCACCGTGAACGTGTCTGCATGGCCGAGCGGATTATGCCAAGTGTTTTTTTTTTTTTTTTTTGCGCGTGCGTTACGCGCTCCGATTTCGTTCGCAATAAGAATAAATGCCAAATATGCCGATTAAATTTCCTGTACAGAGATAACGGTCTATATTCGGAGCGATCAATTGACAGTAACGAGGCCTCTTTCGTTTGCGAAGCACCGCCGATTCCGGATGCAAATTTCCCGACGGTAAAAAAATCCAGGTGAATAACGAGAGTGGTCGATTCATCGAGTCGCGATAACATTGTACGACACGTACAATTTTTCTCCAGGATAACAAATTTATTTATTCAAAGTGTAACAGTCTTTATAAATAACTGGCTTAAGTTAAATCGTAAAGTAAAGATCGTTTTATATTATTTTTGTTAATATGACTCGCAGAAATCGGACCGAACACGCGTACGTCTAGAGCTTACCTTCAAAAGTGTGAGGATCTTTTGTGAGAGGTCGTAATCGAAATTCTGGTATTTGCTGTCCGACATGTCGTAAATAAAAACCAGACCATGCTTCTGAGTTTCCGCGCTTTCGAGAGCCGCGTCCAATTGATACACGACACCCTACGAGGGAAACAGAGAAAGTTCCATTATTAGAGATGCCGTGTCGCAAAGTAGCTATTAAGCAACCGTTGCATCATTCTTTATTATACGGTACAAGAAACCATTGTATTTATTAATACTAAATGCGACGCGTAACGCGTTTGTCATCGAATGAATTTGCATAAGCACGATACATAATATTACGGCAACTTTACGGTACCCACTTGCAATGTCGTTTGATGCGTCGTATTTTGTGGAAGATGCAAATGTGCGGTGAAAATAGCTATGGCTGCCCCTGTTGCATCTCGCGAAGACTGAAACATTTTTCATTTCTTCAATGTACCATGCGCTACTTGCGATGCGAAAGTTTCGTTAGATTTTCGATTAGCTCTACGTCCTTACTAAAACTGTAAATTTTCCCGTGTGTAGTTCGCTGAGCAAGGGTTCCTGCGTGGGATGCAGAAGCGCGAGACCTTCTCTTCTCCTGGTGGCTTCGTGTTGTTCGTAAAGAGCCAAAGCCCTCGCGACTTCAAACTTTCTCGCCGTTAAAAATTTCACGGCTGTGCTCCATGACACCGGACCCGCTCTTCTGCCTGCTCGACACTTATTTACTGCTTCTATAAAATCCTTCGTAGCCTATAAATTCAAATGAATCGAGTTAAATTATTTTTCAGAAGATTCTTCGACGCTTCAGAAACAAGGATTATATAAAGGATTATCGGATCGTAATTCATGGAACAGAAGTTTGCACCGAGTGTGATTAAATGGTCTCGCGGCGTTTCTATACCTACTTTCAAAACGGGCAACAGTCATTCGTCAATGATTTGTGTACATGCCCTGAGTACCGATATAACTTCCGGTGCCCGACTACCTCCCCGCTGGCCACTTCCGCCATAGTACGCTCGCCGGGGACCGGCACGGTAAATGGATAGGTTCGTTCCAGGGTCAAGAAGAAATTTAATATCGCGAATCGATACTTTTCTAAATCTCTCGCGAAAGCCAGTTTCCACGAGGCTGCCTTATCATCGACGAGATATCGCGATTGAATAAAAGCGTACGCGAATACCGCGCGAATATTGATTTCGCTGTATTTTTAATTCCGCTTTTAAAATGCAACAGCTCGCGACGTTTATGGAACGGAAAAGAGTTTCTACTCGTCAAGCGCGTGCTATTTCACGATTCATTTGTCATGGTCTCGAGGTCATTTACTCGAGCTAATTCCCGACGAATAAAACACCGCATCGTTTACGAATTACGATCGACAAAGGAGCCGAGTGTTATTATCGCGATGACAGTGTCTGTTTCGTCAAACACTGACGGTTATTAAACATCCAAGAGCCTATCTCTACGCGACCACATTCAACAAGCACTTCGGAATAATAATCGCTGGAAAATTATTGCGAGATATTCGCATCGAGCGCTTCGATGTCCTTTTGTTTCGCGATTTCCGTTGAAATTTCTTTGAAAAAAAGCGGAAAGGAACCGGGTGCGAAGCAACAATGTTTATATTGCGCGCTGGTAAACATATTCGAGACGGAGACAGAGACGGATGATATCTCGAAAAATCGACCGTGACCGATCGTTTCGCCGTTTCCTGAAATGACTCGGCGGCACGCATGTCTCACAACCGGAAGATCGACTGATAATCGCTTACCTGTTCCTGCTCGACGGTTAACGTGGCTGCCATTTTGACTTAATGTACACTGTCATAACCGACAAAACCACAGCACTGGCTAACACGTACTCGTTTCTGACTCTGGTCTTTCGATCCTCTGTTCGCGGCTACACATTTTGTTTCACGAGACCAGTCGCACGACACGATCCTTGCGATTGGCGGCTGATCCGAGTCACCGCGAAGACAAGTAGATCGATCCGGTGCGCTCGTTCATTGTCCGACGCTCGTGCTCTCGACACAGCTATAGCAGACGCTCGATCATCCTCCACTCCGCAGGTTGAGCGCCATCTTAAACAGAGACCACGACCATAGTAAGCGACACTGTACCACGTGCTACAGGTCGCTTCAAAACGGCCGCGACCAAACCTTTTTCGATTTCGAAACGGTCTGGAACGTTTACGTAATTAAGGCCTGTTTAATTCAACAGCGATTGGAACAAGGGTGTTAAAACCCTCGAGCTCCTCTTTACCAACAAATAAACATAAAATGTAGTACGATGAAATTAAATGAGACTCTCGAATAGACTGCAACTATTTCAAAGTTATTTGAAAAGTAGACAGACTCGTTTGTTGCGACAGCATTAGCCACAGATTTGTGCTAGAGTTTTATCGGCTGGCTGTCCTTCTCGCGCCGGATATGTGCTATCATTGACCAAGTATAGCCATCGTCAAAGTCTGCGTCACGGCTCTGCAGACAGCCAGCTTTGGTCTTTTGAGACTTCGTGCAAAAACGACACCGGAGACGAAATCATACGTCTTTGCCAACGAGCAACAAGTTAGTACGTCATCTAGAAGCAACAAGTCTCGTAATCAGTTAATTTTTAATTCTCTACGCACGCTCCTCTTAGTAGATCTTTGAACAAATTTGTTTGTCTCTGCCCCCAGCTGGTTATGTATGTAATAAAATAGAAAGGATGGAAAGAATGTAACGTAACGAGTGAATATTCCACCCATTGGGTGCATCCAGAAGGAGCACCGCTCACCGAGCCGCTCTGTGAGCGGATTTTTGTTTTCTAGTGGCGCCATCCGTGGGAAAACGTCCAAGTTTGTAGTAAAAAATAGTTCCCGCTGTTCCTGCTAGATGGCGACTTTTTTTTTTACTAGTGACGCCATCGGTGGGAAAACGCCCAAGTTTGTAGTAAAAAATAGTTCCC